ACCCACCTCGGAAGGATGGAAGGCTGAGTCAACCCTGAGCCGGTGAGATTTGAACAGCCCAACTGCAGGACTGCAGTCAACTGAAGTAGCCTGCAGTGCTGCATTTAACCACTGCGCCACCTCGGCACAACCTCTTGTGTCTTCCGAGCTAATCCACCCAGATTGGATGCTGTAAACATCACCCTGGGTCACGTATATTGGCATTCATTTGTGAATTACTTTTTAACTTTGGTGAAGTTGTGCATTTGGGGTAAAGGGGTTTCCTGGGCGTCAATAACAACCCCTAGGGAAAACCGCGCGGATTGGAAGGAAGGAATTTGTTGTTATTCAATCTGTGACTGAAAGTGAGAAAAATTGATTAATTCAGTAACAAAAGTGGCATGGGATGTGTGAAGGCACCCTCATATCCTGGGGGTTCGGCTCAACAGTTCTGCTCAAGAGCTCACAATCTTGGGGAGGATCTCCTAAAATGTCTTTTGAAGTTTTGGAAGGGAAAATAGCTGAGATTTGCAGACGTTGCGATAGCCTATTAAGAGGAGGCATGATTTGAATGCAGAAGGCCGGGTGTTTTGATCCAGGATCTGCAGTTAAAAGCAAGCTTTTAGCAAAGGTTGAGAAGAGTTGAGAAGCAGGAACTATGGGACGGATCTCGGAATCCTGGTGGACAATCACTTAAACATTGAGCCAGCCATGTGCAGCAGGAGCCGAAAGGACCAATGCAATCCTAAATTGCATTAAAAGAGGGATACAATCAAGATCAAATTCCAAATCTGTTATTCCATCATATCCTTCCATCTCTTTTATGCCCTGCACAATCTTTGTCAGCCTAACTATTGTGGCCTGTCAGCCGCCAGCCCCTCTAACGGCCGAATCAGAGGAGGGGTAAGTGTGGGAGTCAGAGTCAGCATTAAGGCAAAGTGAGGGCTCCGAGGGGGAAGAGGGAATGGAGCTGTCAGAGAGAGAGGTAGAGAGGCAGAGCTGGGCTGTCCATCAGCTCTCAGATGGGAGAGTCAGCAGCTCTCAGGTCTGGGAGTGGTTGATGAGGAAAAGGAGGGTCCAGTGCCTGGCACACAGAAGGCAGAGGAGAGGAGAGCAGTGGAAATCTATGGGCTGGTCCTTGGGATGTAAGAGCCACCGCTGCTAGCGAAGCCCCCCCTAGCTCTGGGAATAAAAGGCAGGGGGCGGAGATGGATAGATGTGGCAGAGGAGNGACTGTGGGGGCGATATGCCGACTCTGTAAACCGCTTAGAGAGGGCTGAAAGCCCTATGAAGCGGTATATAAGTCTAACTGCTATTGCTATTGTCTTGAAAAAATCCACAAAGCTCCTAAGGATCAGAAATAACTTGATGATGTATAATCAATTAGATGTTGAACAGTTCATCCCTGTGTCATTCTTCAAAGACTCTTACTTACCTTATTTATACACGAGGCTTAGCATTTTTTGCTACTTATGCTTCCATCAATTCATAGTTAACTGTTGCAAGCAGGCTTTCCTCTTATTTGTTTGGCCCAGACTACGACAGAAGTGTTAAGGAGATGAAGTACAAATGGGAGAAATCAGATATGCTACTTTTGAATGTAGGGAGAAAACGCTGAATAGAAGTAAGGGGGGAAAAGCAAGTATTTTAAGTAATGAAAAAGGGCGAGTTCCATCCACCAACCCGAAGGGCAGGAGACAAACATGGTTAACGTACAGGCGGTGCAATTATTGTGAAACACAAATAACGGCCAAGTAAGGTAGGGAAACTATCACGGGCAACAGTTCAGCGGATAAGCCCTCCCCGCCTGCCTGCTTCATCTCCGGAGACCGGTTACAACTAACCCTTCCCCTGCAGTGATTGCTCAGGCTTGTGCGCCGTCGTTAAAGGGCGTGGCCACGACGAGGGGGAGGGAGTTAGATGGTTAAGTCCCGCCTCTGGCTGCCGCTCTCCGCGGGGAGTGGGATGGAGATGATGGCGCCTGCGCCTGCGCCTGGAGTCGTTGTGGGAAACGCGTCGGAAGTTCCCAAGCCAACCTTAGCCAAAAGACCTGAGAAGTCCGATGGTTGTGCGGAGACCATGAAATTGACTCGTAAAGCGGTTCTGTCTCGAGCGAAAGCTACGAGCCTTGCAGGGGTCCGCAAGCTCAATTGCTGGTGAGGAGGAGGAGGAGGTGGCGGCCTTTTATATTAACTGCAGTTTTCGGCGTTCCTCGCCATTGGCCGTGGCGGCTGGGATGCTGGTCGCTGTAGTTTCAGTGAGGACTTGGAAAGCTTCTGCTCCTCGCTTTTGTTTGCTTCGTTGTCTTGCAATGGCCACCGAAAGGTCGAGATAGTCTAGTGATGAGAAACGTGTAGCTTGCAGAATTATGATAAAGGCTTTGCCCAGCGAGAACTGAATTCCTGAAATCGTTGTAGTCTCTCTTCTGATTTCTAAATCCAGAGTGGTTGAAAAGGGAAAGAGTTCCACCCCAGTAACGATTAAAGCCACTGTGTAAACATTAATTGAAATGGGTATTATATCCCAATTCAGTATTTTTATTTTGTGTTTTGCAGGATTAAAAATCACAATTAATTATCTGTTTATTCATTTTTTTTTTCATTACTCTTTACTACTTTTTAGTTCCTACCCTTCACTTCACCACTTCTCTTTCCCTTGCATCCACTGATCAAGTGTGTGGCATAAAAAAAAGATAGTAAAACTTGACTTTGGTCCATCCAAGGAGAAGCTTTGGCCCCCCAAAATAAGTCTCTGTGCTGTGTTTTGCTCCTGGGTTGCCTCCTAATAGTATTCACGCTGCAAACACCCTAACAAATACTTTTTTTTAATTAGATAACATACATGCTTATTACTATATCTCTTATTTTTCTTTTCCTCCTTTTTCTCAACAATAATAGTTCTTTCACTTCCTTCCAAAAATATTCTGAAGTTATCATTCAGAAATATGCTTCACTTATCCCCACCTGTCGGTTTTGTTTTCTTCTGTCTGAAATATCGTAGATTCCGAATTGTTACATAAGACATTGTAAAATCAGTCAGAATAGAGACTTCTGCTTTCATTCATTCAAATTATATGTTTCCTGGGCATAAGGACTAGAGTGGCTGCTCTGCTGTGGTTACAGCTGTTGTCTGTAGATCCTGTTTCTGTTTAACATCTATCCAGAAATGTGGGGTAATAGCTCTTTCCCATTATCATGCACACACTTGTTGGCTTAGCTACAGTGTGGTTACAAATAGTTTGACTTGCACATAGATAGAAACTCTTTTACAGAATAGATAAATTTCAAAGGCTTTCCAGTTGCATGGAATAGTATATGTACACCTACGAGCACAGACATATTGAAGAGAAGTCAACAAGATGTACACAGCAGGTCATAAGTAGGCCACGCTGCCTTTCACAGGCTTACTAAAAGCACAAAAGGCATTTGTAGAGGGCTCAAATTGTTCTTTCCTATATGGCTTTCCATAGTGTGAATATTGCTGTAGTTAATATACTATTTTATACATGCTTTTTAAATGTGTTCTTCTTTTTCAGGGGAACCCGTATCTCAGATGTAAGTACCATTTCTAAGTTTCTAATATGTAAGAAATGGAAATAATTGTTGGTGTATTGGTTGTCTCTCATAATCTGTTCCCAGCAGGGGATTGTAAATGGTTGTCAGCTATTTTCTGACTTGACTGAAATCAAAAGATACTAAATCCAGGGAAGAAGCAAAGACTCATTGGTTGGTACTTTGCCTCTTTCTCTTTGGAAAAGTAGATATTAGAGGGCTGAGGAGCTGGCAGTGGTGTAATTTTGAGCTTTAGCCACACATACCTCATGCTGAAACTGCCTGTGAGAAGAGATATAGGGGGTTGACTCATCATTTGGAGATGTTATATCACTGTGATTTATCTTGCTTGATTGACAGAGAGTTTCAATGGACTCTCAGTTGCACTATATATCTGAACTGTCATTCAGGAAAGCACAAGTCATAATGTATGTTTGTTTGGAACAGGTTCAAGCCCTAAGATATAAAGGATTTTTTTTAAATCTGCTTTTATATTTGAGAGCAGTTTCTTAACCTTACCATCCTTAAGATGCATAGACTTCAATTCCCAGAAGGCCTTAGCCTTCCCCAGCTGATTGGGGAATTCTAGGAGTTAAAGTCCACACATCTTAAAGGTACCAAGGTTCAGAAACATTGTTCTAAGGAATAACTATTCTTGAAATTCTGGAAAATAGCACTCAGTAATAATGTAGGTTTCTTTGAAATAGAAAAACTATAAATTCAACTGATCTCTGTAGATATTTAGATTCAGTACATTTTGGCCTCAATTGACATAAGAATGTCGTAATATGGAGCTTTTGTTACAGATGCTTAAATACAGTATTTCTAATCAATCAATTAATTACATATATTTGTTCCTTCTCCTTGCAAGACTGAAGTTTTGCTAATATTTTGTTTTCTTTTCTTTTTAATTATCTAGATCTCAATCTGCCATCAGCTTCCTAATGTTGAAGTGGTCACGTTCAGGTGTGTATTAGAAGGGTGGCTGACTAAATAAAAGCCAAGGAAAATCAGTGGTCTTTCTTTCAACGTGGAACCTGAAAAGAAGTGCTTACTATCTCTTAAGCATTCAGGCAATGTGCTTTTTAAATCATTGTGCCTTTATGTATCATTTTTAAGCTTAGCAAAAATTTCAAACTTCTTTAGCAATATCTATACATAATTGTTCAGTAAAAATTCATACAGTGGTATTATTTCATTTTTGGATCATGCATGTGTAGTCTCATGTTTCTACATTATGTGCCTAACCTACCGCTCCAGCTATACTATACTCTCTTTTCTAGGCTTTAAATTTAAGCGACCCCCAGGGGGAGAGCCTTCTCTGTGGGAGCACCTTCCCTCTGGAATGAGCTGCCCCCGGAGCTTTGTATAATCCCCGACCTCCGGTCCTTTCGACGCACCCTAAAAAGTGGGCTTTTCCAGAAAGCCGGCCTGGCCTGAACCAAACAAAATAAATTATTGATTATTGTTAATTTTAATCGATTTTTTTAAAAAAAATGTTATTGTTAATCTTAATCGATTTTTTTAAAAAAAATGTTATTGTTAAT